AAAAATCATTTTTAATAATAAATTTAGTAAAAAAAAAAAAAAAAAAATACAATAAAACTATACATATCAGTCATTTACACATCACAAATCTAAAATTATTTATATAATAGTTGGAAATTTAAAATAAAGTTTAAATATAGTGTTAGTTAAATATGTGTTTAATTATTGTGTTAATTTTGTATTTTGAAAATATAAATAATTTTCTTTAATTTTTATTTTTTTATATCGACAATACTACTACTACTACTACTAATAATAATAATATAAAAAGAATCAATATTTTTTCCAAAAATAATAAAATTCTAAATATCAAATAAATATTATATATATTACATATATAATATATTATATACGAAATGTTATATTATATTCGTGATAAAATTTATCTATCACAGCGCCATCATTTCGCAATTTTTTTCCATTGTGTTATATCTTTAAATTTAATACGATTTTAAAAGGATTTTTTAAAATACTTACGATTTTATATTTCCTTGATTAATAGAAATATTTTTGGTTGAACGTAAATTTTTTATTAAACGTTGTATTTCATTAATTTGTATTTTATGTTTCCATTTCAATGTAACCTCCTTCTTGATATAACCAATGTGGAACATTTGATATATAAATTACTTTATATATACATTTGAAGTATAAAAAATTATTTAAATAAATTGTAAAAAAGAAATTATTAAAAACTATTAATTATAATATTAATTATAAACTATTAATTATAATAAGTTTTAACATTTTTAAAATATATTTGTAAAAATGATGTCAAAATATAGAAGTGCAATTTGCATTTTTGAGAAATATACGCAGGTATTTTTCTTTAATTATGATTAAATGAATTTCACTATTTATTATCATTGTATTATTAAATTAAATTTATCAAGATATTTTATTATAAAATAAATTATATATATATTTTTATATATTTTTCAGAATAATTTAATGTCAAGTCCTACTAATAATCCATTTAACAATACTTTTCAACAAATTAGAAATATAAAAAAACATTTTAATCAAAAATATCGTAAAGAAA